AGGAGCTCGACGCTCCCGTCAACATCATTGTGCGCCTCAGTGGAGACGTGGGCGCCGCCGTCAAGGAGAAACGACAACTGCAAATTAACCTCCGTCTGCTCCGACTCGTGGGCTCCGGTATTGAGTACACCAGCACGGAACAGGACGACGTAGACGGCCGTACCGCCACCGGTCGTACCGCCACCGGCCGTACCGCCACCGGTCGTACCGCCACCGGTCGTACCGCCACCGGCCGTACCGCCACCGGCCGTACCGCCACCGACTTCAGCACGAGCGGTGCGGGATCCGAATGGTCCAAGGCCGAAGGGTCTAAGAAGGAAGGGTTAGAGCCGGAGGAAGCCGGTTCGCAGCCGTTACACCGACGAATATCGACAGCGGCGGGACTGGAGGCAGTGAAAGAGGAGCTGGAGAACTTTCTGTTAGGAGTTCAGAGAGTGTGTGCGGAGCGGACGATGTTTGCAATTTTGCAGAGTCAAGCGATGCGTGCGTTACGAGAGATGGCGGCACCAGCGGTGGATGATGAGTCTCTGGCGGCGGTGCTGAGTCGGTTAAGAGAGTCGCGAACGGTGAAGGCGGAGTTACTGCCTGGAAATGTGGTGCTTGTGAAACCGGTATTGCTTTCACCCGATTCGCGCATGTTCCGTGTCAGCAGCACACCCAGTCTACACGTGGTGCCAGCCTCATGGTCGAAATGGGTATTATCTGGGCCCCGCAAAGGTGGTAACAGAGATCGGCCGCTACTCTACGCACTCGCTAAAAACATCATGTCCGTCCGAAGCTGCCGCTGCGATCAAGTGCGCATCGTTCTACACGATGTACCCATCATGTTCAACCAACGGGCTGCCGCCGCACATGCGGACATTGAAGTGAAAATCAAATTCGCCGATCGCACCCAACCTAACAACTCACAACCCTGCGGCCCAACCGGTTCCTCTCAAGGCGGTCCTGACACGCCGCCCAGCCCGTCGGAGGCGCTGGCCAAGCTGCAGCGGTACTTGGAGTGGCTCGGCTGGATGGCGGTATGCTTTGTTCGAAACCAGTGCCTCTCGGTGCTCTCCAACGAAGAAGCACTCCGCACCGTCTTCGACTTGCACCACGCCACGCTGCCCGGCCTCCGCGTCCGACATCAAGGCGCCCTGCTCCTCAACAACCTCGTCTCCTGGATCGTCAGCCATGCCGCAATGCACCAGTACAACGACAACACTTAGCCGACCAGACGCTGCTGAACCGCGCGTGATCGAGCGACCTAGGTGGCGCAAGCGACCTAGGTGGCGCAAGCAACCTAGGTGGCGCAAGCAACCTCGAGGCCAAAGTGGTGAAAACATCGTGAAAGCAAACCGATATAAAGCTCACTGGTTGGGACCCTGGACTTGGCCGGGATTGGGCTACACCGGGGTTGGGCTACACCCGGTACTCCCTCAGGATCGGTAATCACCACACGAAGGTGGCGGCGCCGAGGATGAGCAAAAGGTTGAAGGCTGCAAATTCCTTGAGACTGGACCCTTGTTTGTAGGCCTCGGTCGAAACCATTAGGCCTGCGGCGAGGAAGGCTTGGGCCAAGAACTGTCTCAGGGCGCTCTGTCTGGCAAACAGAGCAAAATAGATCAGCCCTAGGACCAAATGACCCGCGAGTATTTTCATCCACATATCGAGAACAGTCGTGCAGCCCTTTTCAGCCCCAACTTGTTCCACCTTGGGGGCGGCATGTTCCACTTTGGGGGCGGCATGTTTCGTTTCTCTCTTCCTCATGCCGTCTTCCTCTATTCTCCGTTCTGCCTTTCTTGCTCTGGTTGCTTGTCTTCCTTCTTGACTGAAATATTATTGTTTGTTTGAGGTACCCAGCTGGGTCACGGTCACGTCCCTGTTCGTAAGGCCATGCACAAGGTCGAGTTGGGCTTGCCGGGAGCGCGTTCATCTCGCTGGGAGCCAACTATCTCGGAGAGGGGGGGGTTTGCTTACTCAATATTAGTCGTGACAAAAATGAAGACGGTGCTTGCTGTTCTTTTGGCTTCCGTTTTTGGTGTTGAACAAGTGTTTGAATGGTACAGTGACTGCGCCGTATGCGTGAACGAAGATGACCCAAGCACCACCGATCTCACTTGGGACCAACTCCAGGGTTGCCTAACACAGCGTCCAGAGGGATGTCAAGTGACGGTCGCTTGCATGAGCACACTTACTACTATTGAGTTTTGTTCGGATAACATAAAGATCTCATCAGGTACGTGTCGCACACACTTTGACTACCGCCACACACTCCCATTTCGCTACTGTCATTACCGCTCCTTCCACTGACCTTTCATCACTACACATCAGGAGATTACGCCCTACTGGTACCGCTAGTCGCTCCGAATGACGACTGGTATGTCGTGCGTACGGAGCTAAGTTGGCTCTCTAGTTTGTGTTTAACTCCTCAAGTCATGCACATGTATTTGGTGGAGCCGACGGCAGTCTGTGAGCCCGCGGGTATTGATCCGAGTGTCTTTACGGAGATTACTGCAGACACGACATGGGCATTTCATTTCGAAGCGCAAATGCTCATTGCAGACCCGATGCCCCTACGCGCCCCGAGTGCTAACAAGCAGCTTATTATACCCTTTCTTTCCGACTGCCGGGACCTACAGCTAACTGGGGTGAAGGTTAAGTCGACTCGGGTCTACGGGGATACCAGTGGAGTGACAAGCTGGCCGCTTTTTTGTGTGGCCTATGCTATACTTGCTAGCATCTTCTGCTAACCGTCTATGGAACGGCCGCCTGAAGACCTGAGCATTGCAAATGTGAGGACTGCAAAAGATGAGCGTCTTCTTTAGAACTACGCATCACAAGATCATCACAGAGCTGGGAAGGGTAACCCATCGAGGGAACGAGTGTAGACGTCTTGTGTGGCTCGTCAGCTGTTAGCACAGCTATCGAGCTGTTAGCATAGCCATCGAGCCGCTAGCACAGCTATCGAGCTGTTAGCACAGCTATCGAGCTGTTAGCACAGCTATCGGGGCGGATATTATCACCATTGTTGAGAACTATTTGATGGGTATCACAACGAGATGTGGTCGTTGGCTGACCACGGGGTGTGACTACGGGGTGGTGGTCGCTGGCGAACAATGGGATGGGTGGGAACACGTGGGGCGGGCGTGGGACACACGAAAAGGAGCGTTAGGCGTCTAAAAAGCCAGATGAGACTCCCCCCAGAAGTGACACAAGAGGAGTCCCCTCCACAAGAGGAGT